AAGAGCACCTAAACCTGCTGGACGAACAAGCAAAGAAGAATGAGGTAGAGAGGATGCTCAAAATGCCAGCCATGCGGGAGTCAAACAAGGATGAGGTGCAGGAGAGTGAAGGGTACACGATCTCCACCAAGTTCGTGATCACCTGGAAGCATCGTCTGGAGCAAGGGGGTTGGTTTCGAAGAGCACGCCTTGTTGCAAGGCAGTTTAAGGGCAGTGTTGATCTTGACCAAACGTTTGCCCCCACGTCAATCATGGTCTTGCCCAAGATGCTCATCCATTTGATGCTAAATGTCTTCAAGCATTTCAGGGCGATGACCCTGGACATCAAGGACGCGTTCCTGATGGCGGAGAGGAGCGAGCCTTCGTGGAGCTGGATGCTCATCAAGTGCCTACCGGGTCAGAGGACTGCAGCATCACAGTGGTTCCAACTCTTCGTGGGAGCTGCAAAGAAATTCGGACTAGAGCAGGACCCAATGCAGCCTACCTTGTTGATGATGAAGAAAGAAATGTACATCGCGGTGCATGTTGACGACATCTTCATGGTGGGCAACGAGATGATGCTGAGGAACTTCGTGGAGTACATGCACAAGAGAAAGGGATGGAACATCGAGGTCAAAGGGCCATTTGGCATGAACGAGAAATTCCACTACCTGAAGAGGGAGTTTTGGCCCGGAACAGAAGGATGTGACGTCCGGTGCGATTACAAACAGTACGAAAGCCTCGCCAAGGACACAGACGTGTTCAAGAAGGCCTACAGAAAGACTCCCATGGACCAGAACATCGCCAAGAAGGACGAGAGTCAGCTGCTGAAAGGAGAGGAGATAACAAGGTATCGCAGCGTGGTTGGGAGGCTGATGTATCTGGCTGGAGAGAGGCCGGACGCCCAATTCTGGCAAGGAGCATGGCAAAGCCCACACAGCAGGCATGGAAGAACGCCTGGCACGTATGTTCCTATTTGCAAGGAACGATGGGCTTCGGTGCGAGGATCGGCCTGAGGAAGAAAGGGCAGTCGGTCATGGATGTGAGAGATGAAGAGGAGGTGGATGAGAAGGAGAAGCACCTGATAGAAGTTGTGACAGATGCCGACTATGCCGGCAACAAGAACGACCGACGCAGCACCACATCGTTCCAGATCTTCATCGATGGGAACTTGATGGAACCCAGGGTGCGCTCACAGAAAGCCATAGCCCTATCCTCAGGAGAATCTGAGTTTGTGGCCATCGTGGCAGGGTGCTCGGATGGACTCTTGATCCGACACCTATGGACAGCCATGATCGGAGAGCCCTGTGACATGAAGATCCGATCTGACAGCTCAGCGGCCAGGGCAATGGTGCAACGCCAAGGTATTGGAAGAGTTCGACATCTTGATGCAGCACTGCTATGGGTTCAACAGAAGGAAAAGGACAAGATCTTCAGCGTGGCAGCAATTGGCACTGAGCTCAACTGTGCTGATGTTGGGACGAAGAACCTGACAAGGAGCCGACTCTATGGACTGCTGTTCATGATGAAGATGATCAACAGCCTTGGTGAGAGGATTGGCAAACAGGAGTTCATGGACTTGGAGTACAAGGAGAGGATGCGAAAGGCTACCAAGAAGATCATGAAGGTCAAAGACATGCATGTGGGGATGTTGATGATCCTGTCGAGACTTGGTGAAGTGGCAGGAGAACCCACAGAAGAAGAAGCAAAAGGCTATGATTGGAGTTGGATAGTCTTCACGGCATGCGCCGTGTGTGGGGCCTGGAGCATTGCAGGATGGTTGCGGCGCAACATCATTGAAGGTGCTACATCGTGCAGTACCTGAACAACATGCTCGGGACCCAGGCTGAAAAGGAAAAGCCTGAAATGAAGGAGATAGGCAGCCAAGCCTATGAGACGGAGGGCTTGCAGACCTACATGAAAGCATATGAAGAAAACGAGGAGAAGCTGCAGAGTGAGCTGCAAAAGAAAGATGACTACATCGAGGAATTGGAGGTTGGCATCAGCGAGATGCGCCGACAAAGGGATCAAGCCTTCAAAGAGCTTGAGATTTCTGAAGCCTATGGGCTGCGGTTGCTAAGGCAAACCACCCAGTACAGGATGAATCCAAGGGGCAAAGCGATCCACTTTTGCGAACGCTGCCCCCATTACGCAAAGGCGTATGAAGTGCAGTTGTGCCAAGTATGCATGGCTGGAGGCACGGTGTTTGACCATTTAGATCGGTCAGCCAGCCTTGCATAGGCACAAATCGAGAAGTGTACATCTGACGCACTTCGGGCCCAAATCGTGAAACAAGCGTTTCGCTTCGCAAAATTATAAAGTTTTAATATGAAACTATTGGAGTTGTTTAGTGGAACAGGTAGTGTTGGTAAAGTTGCCCGTGAATTCAGTTTTAGTGTCATATCGTTAGATTTGAATAACGCACACATTAATGAAGATATAGTACAATGGGACTACAAAGAATTGGACAAAGATTTTGATGTTATATGGGCATCCCCTCCTTGCACGAATATAGTAGAGCAAAAACTATGGGTGTTAGAAAGATAGATTATGCGAATAGTATTGTAAGGAAAACTGTTGAAATCACTAACTACTCTCAACCTACAATATTTTTCATAGAAAATCCACCGACGGGACTTTTGAAAGACCAGGACTTGATGAACGATTTTGATTATTACGATGTAGATTATTGTAAGTATGGTTTTGAATATAGGAAGCGGACGACTATATGGATGGGAGGATATGACCAACAGGGAAATATCCTCCCTCGCGAAGCGACCAACCTACAAAACTGGAAATCAAGACCTTTATGTAAAAAGGATTGTAATAGCATCGTAGGGAACAGACACAAAGAAACGGCACAAAGACTACCGTGTAAAGGTTTGTGGAACGAACAAAGAAAGAAGACACAAGATGAACTATACAGAATACCTGATGAGTTGATTTATGACATCCTATCAAACCTTTAGGATTTCGTGCCTAAGGAATGGTTTAGTCAATCCTTCCAGTTTGAAGCTTCTGTTGCCCGTGCTGTCGTATTCTATCTTCTGAACCTTGTAGTTTTCCTTTGACCATTTGCTGTTGTATTCCTTCCTGTCGGTGTAGTTGCCTCTTCCCTTCGTGAAGATTTTGACGGTGTCATTCTCATATATCTCCTCATATTTCCTTGTGTTCTTTTCTCTTCTTGTCAGATTTACTTTAACATCCATGTTGTTCTTGTCGTCGTGTGCTTCGTTGGGTGTTAGTTTGGTTGATGAGTGTTTGCTACTGTTGTATTTCTTCAAGACGGGTGGAAGCATACTCGTCCATCCCGCCTTGTTAAATCTAACCCTATCGTGTATCATATTTTTCAGTGTTCTGATGAAACGCTCTACAACGTTGGCGTGTGTCCTTGTGATGATGTGATTGATGCCTTCATCCGTAAAAACTTTGGCACTACCGTCTGGAATGCTCCGTCATCATCGCTATATATTGACATACAGTAATCCATCTTCTTAAAAGTCTCTTTCAATGCTTTCAATACACTCACCCCATCTTTGTTTCTCATTGGAACGGCATTCCCGAATTTACTTAAAATATCAATGACAACTAATGCATACCTTGGTTCATCATTTTTGAGTGGGTTTTTTCCTTCAGGTTCTTTGGTTAAAGGCACCATGTCCATTATATCCATTTGGTATTCGAATCGGGCAAACGGAGCAGTGTAGGAATTATACCCTCTATACTTTCCAATCTGTTTGTTCGGTTGTTTTGCCATAAATTGTTTTACATCTACTGTATTGATTGATGGGTCTTTCTCTTTTGCTTTCTTAAGTGTTTACTTAACAGACCCGAGACCTTCATTGACATCATAATAAACATTACTTATAATATCATATTTTCTTAATCGTCTTGCCATATTATACTTTTAGGAAAAAACCGTTTAAAAAATAAATACACAGGATAAATAAGGATGAATAGGTATGAACACGGTAAAATTTATAAAATCACTGACATTGGATACAACAAGTGTTATATTGGAAGCACTTGCGAATGTTTATGTCAAAGAATGGCAAGGCATAGGGAAAAGTATAAGTATTATTTGAAAACAGGAAAGAAGCATACAAATGGTGTTTTTATGTTTGATGTGCACTGATTGAAAACTACCCTGCTGAAAGTAAAGCAATGCTTCAAAAACAAGAAGGACACTACATCAAGAATACTGACTGTCTTAATAAGAAGGTTGAGGGAAGAACACGTAAAGAATACCAAGAAGACAACGGAGAAAAAATAAGTGAGAAGTGGAAAGAATGGTATGAAAACAACAAGGAATACTGTGCTGAAAAAAACAAAATTAAATAGACAACTATTTAATGAAAAGGTCAATGAACAAGCAAGAAAAAGTTATTACAAACACCAAACTGAAATCAATGAAAACCGACGAGAACAATACAATGAAAACAAAGACAAAGTGGATGATAGGAGAAGAGAACTATATATCAACAACAAAGATGAGTTAAGTGAAAAAAGAACAGATTGAATGTGAATGTGGTTCAGTGATAAGAACGGCAGATATGAGCAAACACCTGAAAACTAAAAAACACCATAACCACACCATAACAACCCATAAAACTTTACAACCTAACATAACCACAGCATAGTTACAACCCATAAACCCAGACCTAGAAATAAAACACAGCAACAACAATCATCCACCTCATGTTAAAACCATTTGCCCCAGAAAAGTTAGAACCCCAAAAACCCCAGAACCCCCCACACATAAAACATCAACAGCAAGGAAAACACATTGAACATCAACAAAAAATCATAACAAGCAACACACCAACAAACCCTCCCCAGAACCCCCCTTTTACCATCTTTTTTGGGGACGCATGTTTGTTTCAGGATGTGGAGCATGCAGCTCAAGTGTGAAAACATGGCCAAAACGTCACACCTTCCCGATCACTGGAGTTCGAACCCGAAGCTGGAAACCCCTTCCGCGGGCACCGCTGCAGACTGTCTGGCAAGTCCTTTCCTGCGAGGTCATGAAGGAGAACCTCGAACTGAAGAAGGAGATGCAGCATGAGGCGAAGGGTCCAGCAGTGAGGTGTGACGTGGCCTAGATGCGCAAACCACGAAGGAGGAGAAATTTCTCAGCCTCAACAGCCTCAATGAACCTAATTTCCAAATGGAGCCTCATGATAGAACCCCTTCTCAACATGGATATTGCGTATGTTCACCGACAGTTGGACTAGCCAGATGTGATTTGGGTGAGAACCAACCCTTGATAACTTGATTTGGGAGCAGGAACCTGGCAACAAAATGAAGGGCCATGAAGATCACGGAAGAAAGCAACCAGTTTCTGCCAGCGATGACCCTTGGTGATGGGGGTAGATCCCTTGATTGCTGGGCGGAACTCGAATGCGAGGCACAGGTGAACGATCAGACCGCCCAGCGGCTAGATGCTCTTGAGAAGGCTCAGCGAGAAGTTGCTCTTCACACTGAAGTGAGTCGATCAAAGCCCAAAATATCCTTCCCAAGGCAGATGCAGAGAAAAAGAAAATTGGAGAGCAAGCATAAGTTGCTGGACTCTCCCAGTAGTACCCCGGTAGGGTGCATGATGCCAGCCAGTTTAGGACAAGGCGCAGGTGATTCACACAGAAATCAAGATCAATCAAGAGAAAGCTTTCCCCGGACCAACAGTCAGAAGCTCTCCCATGTCTTCAACTGATTTTATCCTTCTTCCAGTACCTCCAACAGTCGACCTTTTGCACCACAGCCTAACCGCCTAAGCCCCGGTGAAAAAACACCAGGGCCACAGTGCCGGCGCTGAGACTCGTGTCCAAGCACTGGAGGACCGAGCGACAAGGGGATCCTCAGTCACTTGGATGGAGATCCCCAAGCGCCAGGGTTTTCGGAGGGATCAGCTTGGGCAAACGTGCCCTAGCAGTCCAAGCTTTTTTGGAAAAAATGACCACACCCTCAAGCCTAGCAGCCCCAGCACTCCACATTGTCTAGCAACAATGGAACACTATAGCAACAACCATCCTTGATTGACGATCAATGTGACATGCCTGAGTCTCAACATGAGGAGCCCCACCCTGCCCCATGCTGTCGCATTTATATAAATCAAGTCGTATTCAGGAACTTTCCAACTCCTCCATCAGTGACTTGGGCCCGATTCAATCGATTCAAGACAGGACTTGGGATGACTTAGGTGTACTTCTGCCGCAGAATTCCTGGCTTTCCGCTCCTTGATTATCCGAAGCCTTCTATGGGCATCCATGATTTATATAACAGTTCTTTGCCAGTCGGCCACTAATGGGACGGCTTTAGATCTTTCGACCCCGCACTTTGCTCCTACTGCGTTAGCCAGGAGGAGAATGTGAAGTTTCGTGCTGCGCTGGCAGGGGCTGCTGGGGGCCCTGGCGAGCAAAAGGCACGGGGAAGAACTCAGCGACTGTAGGCAGCTATCCCACACGAACGGTGTGCAGAGTTTATCATCCTAGTGTAATTGAAGCACCCCTGAACTTCCGGTTTATATGACTTGCTTGCAGGGGGGTAAGATGCCACACTTCTTTTGTGATTCCTTTGTACTGCTGTCCATCCATTCTCCTTCATTTACACACCAATATGCATGCTTTTTCTTGAGCTGGATCAAGTGCGACAGCTCACGAAATCACAGACGGGTATAACTGGTCTAGGCTTAAATATGTGTGGCTCCAGATAGGATGTGAGGCTGAGGATCATGGCTTGTTCCATCAGGTGTTCACCGGAACCGGTCGAGCACCGGTCAGCCCCTCGTCTCAGGCCCGGCGGTTGATCAACTTGGAGGCGGACGTGACGAGCCAAAGGCGCTGGGACGAGGAAGGGACGTGGTGGCGCGGTGATACGAAGACGTTCGGAATGAAAAGAGCAGAGCGTCTAGGTTTTGGAAGCATCCGGGGTTGAAGGAAGGTGATAGGAGGTTCTAGGGGCCTGGGGCAAGGGGAAGAGGAACAGTCGAGTGGATGCACCATATTGGCCGTGTGAAGAACGCTTGGTGGATTCGAGGGTCGGGAACGGTTCAACAGTGTCGTTGCCTCAACGGATCAACGACTTCGACACTATGTAGCTACAAGTTCGCCAAGAGCTGTCATATCCAGAATGATCACGTTCCCAATCAAAGAGGGTGTCCTCATTCTTCTTTTTGGAAGAAAGAAGACTGGCACTGCCAAGTGCATCAGGGGCGCCAGGTGAAGCAATGGGGTTGCCGATGTTTCTCGGGGCAAGCCAGCTCGATAACACCCGCCAGGCAAGTGGCGCCGGGGCCCAAGGAATGAGGGGTCAATTGACATCGATTTTTGAAGAGGATGACATGGGTGGCACCACAGAAGAGCAGTTGAAAGGATGCCCAGCGGCTTGGTGGAGTGCAAGGCAAAAGTGCAAGTCATGGTGTCACGGGTGATCAGTTTCAATGCCAGTGTAGAACTAGGTGTCCGGATGCCTTTTCCACGGTCCTTTCTACCGATTCTTACAGTAGGTTTTCGATGGAAGACTACCTCAGGAAGGATGGATTTTAACAGGGCCATCCCATCCAATTCTTGTGCACATGGCAGGGCGGGCCCCAAAGTTGTGCGACACCAGAAGCAGCCGATGCAGCCAGCGAGCTAAGTCAAAAAGGTCGCGAATCGATGGGAAAGGCAGTGGAAGGCTGTGATAAGCTCTCAGAACACTTGCAGTGAAAGGAGGAAGGTTGCTAGGATGAGGAAGGTTGTGCACGTGTGGCTTTACTGAGAAGTTCACGGAGCAACCCCGAAAGCGAGTTTCGTGGTGGGTCCAACGAGAAGCCCTGCACAGCATCAAATGCTTCAGACTATCGCGGTCATGTTCCCTTTCCAAGATCCCTCGACTCGGTGCACGAGTCGATTCCCCAATTCGGGTGAATTTTTGGGTCCCAGGAATTGACCGGGTGAGTTCCAAAGAGCGAATCAGACGACTTGCATTGGCATAAACCTCGCAGAGAGAGGGTCCGACAGAGTGGCCCTGAAGCTTTTGAAGCTGAACTCACTCAAAGCACTTCTGCAGCTTCCACCCAAAGCTTGACACTTGAAACACCCCGCGGCTCGCGACCCGCTGTCCATGGCCGGCTCAGCAATGGAGGTTCCGGGCCTCAGGGACCAGGTTGACCAGTACCTTCGATCTCCCGCCCCGAAAGAGCTCCCGTGAGAGTCTCGAGTCTTGAGAGCAGAAACAGAGCTGGGCCTCGGGCCGCAGGCGGCCGCAGGTCTGTCTTTCAAAGCAAGGTTAGTCTTTCGCATCCTGTCCTGCCACAGTGCTGACCTTGTTTATCTACCAAGGCCTCAGCTTAGTCATCTTATGTAAAGATTTTGTTGAAGGGCCCTCTGACTCGACTATCCTCTCCACGTTGGCTGAGGTGGAGGATTGTGAGGCGAGCGAAACTTTGATCCTCGCAACCGAGGACCACCCGGGCCCGTTTCAAACCAACTGCGCCGTCCTTTCCCGGTCGTTCAATTTTTTCAGTTCGTCGAAACCCGCCCGTCGAATCCGCGGTTGGCCCTGGGGGGTCACGGGTCCAGGACTGGAAGTTTGGGAGGATCATCTCGACTCTCTGAATGACTCCCACCTGGTAGGAGTGATCTTGCAAAGTCCGGACGGAAGTGGAGAAACTGAGTTCAGGTACTTGAAGTTCTCTCCTTCCGTGACTTCCGGTTCCCTTCAAGCCTCAACTCCTTGTTTCCGCCTTCAATCCCCAACTATCTCTCTTCTCTCCTCTCTCTCAGTGAAAAGTCGCCAGGAGCTACCCAGCTCCCCTGCCGGCCAGCTGGGCCAAGCGCTTTGGCGGCGCCGAGTCCCTCTGGTGCTTGCGCTCCTGAGTGCGCTGGTGGCGCTGACTGGGCTACTGACCCGTACAAAGCCACAGGTCTTGGGAGGCCCGTGTGGTCCAGACCGCGTTCGGGGTGGGGCGAGGGGTGGGGGAAGACTTGCTCGGACATGTCAGTCACTAGACTAGACTATAAGCACACTCTTTTGTTGGCAGAAGCATAAGTTCATGGGTGATATAGGTCTTGTTCTGTCGCAACTCACCTGACAATTGGTCCAGCGCTGGATTCTGCAAACAGATCAAGGGGATGCGTGTCCGCTGGAAGATTTTGTTGACATTCTCAAGGGAAATGCTCTGTCCTCTGAAGGTTGCATGCGCAAAAAATGGGTCTTCGCTAGACTTGCGGATGGGTGAGGTGAGGCCAGGTCTGATGGTTTCTGTGTCGCTCAGTGTGTCGTCGCTCAGGCGCAGTGGTGCTGCCACCTTCGGCGGTTGCCGGGGATGGCACGCTGCCGCTGCTGGGTCTGGCACACGTGAGTGAGGGTGCAGTGGACGTGTTGTGCGTGATTGACATCAGTCGCTGGGAGAACATTCGCGCTCGCCGTGTCGTCTTTTCTGGTGGGTCGCTTGGAGCTTCGTCGGTTCGGAATGAACAGGCTGGTGCAAGATCCGATCGAACGCGGGCGTTGGATGCATGGGGGTGTCACATGGCCCGCCCGCTTGTGTCTGCTTGGTGGTTTTCAGATGAGTGTGATTTTGCAGTTCCAGACATCTCAGGTCAGATGGTGGCGCGAATCAACCTGATGGGCCTCATTATCCCTGTCGCGAGTGAGGTCTGTGACTACGACCGAATTCGCCGGCGGGGAGGCGTCGTCGACAAGGAGCCGGATTGAAGTTGAACGGCCGGGGATGTCATTCGATTCAGAAGCAGTTTGAAGGGTGGGTACCTTCCCCACATGCACCCAGGGGGATGTGCTGAAGTTCTGGTTTGCACTTGCGAAGATGCATATAATTTCCATCAAGGCAGAAGGGAAGCCACCAACTGATTTCTATTCTCAAATGATCAAGTCGTGACTTTGACGAACTCAGGAGGCGGAACAGCATTGTGCCAACTTCATTTTGCTGAACGTGGTGAACGATCTGCTCTTCATCGGCCTTGTGGCAGATAGTCTGACCCAATGTGCCCACTCGCTGAACTTGCCTGCCAACTGTGCCGCCAACATCGCGTCGATCCTGGGGACCATGAGTCTGATCGCGCAATCGGTCAATCAGATGGACTACGTTTGCGTGAATCGGGACAACATCACGGAAAAGATTGACCAGAAGAAGGCAAAGATTACCAAGGCGAAGCAGGACATCCAGCGAGATGTGCAGGAGATGAGAGTACGGGACGTACGGGAATTTGGGTGGGGTGGTTGGAAGTTGGAATGATATATCGAGTTTCGAATTGGTGAGGGAAGCTGAATTTGACCCTCAGAACTTGCATCGAGTTTGTGGATCAAATCATAGTTTCTGAGTTTGGACACCTTGATTGCCAACTGATGTTTCTTGTGTGTCTTCTGCTGTTCAGTGGTGTGGGCATCCCCCATTTGGAGACATCCTTTTGGCCACCAAACTTTTCATCTTGGGATGGGTAAATCCATGCCTCAAGAGCTGAGTTTGTGGCCAGAACATTGAAGAGGTACCATTTTAATTTTCCCATCAAGTCTGCTTTCCCATCGAAAGACAGCACTGCGGTTGCAGAAATTCCTCATCGATCACGGCTACAACGTCAAAAATGTGCTGCCACCCAATCCGGCGGTCGAAAAGATCCTTGGTCCTTGGAGTTGATTTTTCCACCTCTTTCGCACCAGGGCTTTGATCCTGTGCGGCTGATTTGTAGCAACCTGAAAGAAACCAGCAGGGGTTTGCCAAAAAACACGGCCAACAGAGAACAGTGTACTGAACATAAACCGATTTCCTCACCTTCTCTCCATTCCTAAATGACTGGATCGCAGAGTTCAAATTCCAAACTTTTTAGTCCAGACTTTCCTTCAAGCCACTTAAATCTTTATCTACATAAATTGAAATTCCTCTGGACGACTTTGAACCGCTTATATAGATTTTCCTTTCTACTTCCACCGGGCCCCTACATGCACATGGTCCTGTCTTTGGCAGGGTGGGCTGGTTCAGTTGCATCGTGGTTGACTGCTGTGCCTTTGTGGTTGCTTTCTCTCACTAAGGTTGGAGGCCATCGCTATTAGGTTGGAGGCCATCGCTATTAGGTTGGAGGCCATCGCTCCTAGGTTGGAGGCCATCGCTCCTAGGTTGGAGGCCATCGCTAGTAGGTTGGAGGCCATCGCTCCTAGGTTGGAGGCCATTGCTCCTAGGTTGGAGGCCATTGCTAGTAGGTTGGAGGCCATCACTCTTAGGTTGGAGGCCACTATTAGGTTGGAGGCCATTGCTATTATTAGGTTGGGGGCCATCGCTCCTAGGTTGGAGGATCGCTCCTAGGTTGGGAGGCCATTGCTAGTAGGTTGGAGGCCATCACTCTTAGGTTAGAGGCCATTGCTAGTGGGTTGGAGGCCATTGCTATTACTAGGTTGGAGGCCATTGCTGTTGGAGGCCATCGCTAGTAGGTTGGAGGCCAGCGCTCCTAGGTTGGAGGCCATCGCTCCGAGGTTGGAGGCCATTGCTAGTAGGTTGGAGGCCATCACTCTTGGGTTGGAGGCTATTGTTATTAGGTTGGAGGCCATCGCTCTTGGGTTCCTTTCCGCATTGCCGGTGTGAGAGGGTTTATTTCCCTTTTTTGCGCCACCCGATGTGAAAGATTGAGTTCTCTTGTCCGCGCTGCCCGGTGGGACAGGGTTTGTTGTTTCGGAGATTGACTGCCGAAGGTTGGCATCTGGAGATTTCTTGATGTTCTGTGTCCTTTGCCAGGTGTCATGTCTTGTGCTTGTTGATATTCAGGTTGCTTCGCGACGACAGCCGCCCGCACCAGTGGCTCCCAGAGAGAGGGTAAAAGAAGTTTATGACCACTCTATTTTTTGGATCATTGATACATTGTTTGTATAGCTATGTTTAACTTGCATTTTGCAAGCATTGTTGCATGTATTTTTCAACCCCCTTGAAATTGTACATTTTCAAGGGGATCGAAAATAGAGTGGTTTATGTGCGACAAACTATACAATGTGCACGGTTAACCCTTGTAGTCACAGGGATCCAGATGGGTTGTTCTCTCATCGTTTTTCGGCATTTGTTTTCCAGCAGGGGGACCATCCATGTGCTGTGAGCGATGGTCCAACGAAGCGGCCACAGTACATGCGGATATCTGGCCTGATCAGCCAGACGTACCTGCCATTTTCCGAGTCTTCTGAATGGCATGAGGCCAAGCCCAGAACCTCACAGGTAGCTACATTTGGCAGTCCAGAGCGCACGTCGTCATGTCGACTTGATCGTCGCCTTCGATCTTGAGACTTTGGCCCTATTTCCTCTTGAAGACCTCGAGGCTCCGTGGTTCTTACTTGTACCCTTAGGAAATGGAACCCTAGGCCGGCGTGTGGCACCGCTTTCAGTTCCGTATGCATATCCATAAGTGTGTTTGGCCTCGTGCCAAGCCGGGATGAGCCTGCAGAGTGCCGTGGACCCGTCGAACGGGGGTTTGTCGTTGTTTCCCTTGCTTTGGAAACGTAAGTGTCCGGAGCGGACAGCAGATGGCTAACGCCACAAGAAGTGGGATGTTTGTCTCATCTTTGGAATTCCAAGTTGGCTCATGCCTTTACGTGACCGCAGCGGTCTAAGCAGCCAGCCATTTCGGCAGGGCACAAGGTGACCACAGCGGTCAAAGCCAGTTTAAGGTTCATTGGAACCTGTCGCGACCTTGGGTGCACACACAGCGTGTACAATGAAACGAGGCAGGTCTCCTAGGTTTTTGCAATGAGGTTTGGTCTCATCGGTTTTCGCCCCCTCCATTTGTTCCCCTTTCATCCCTTCCCCTTCACACACTTTTGTTTCCTCTTTTCTTTCATGTCCTCCTGTCTTCATGTCTGGTCATCTCATCCTTTTCTTCGTCCCGGCCTTAGTGTGTACGTGCACTTTAACATACCTTTAAACACAGGTTTCAGGTCGCCCAGGTCTTTACAATGAGGTGGGCGTCATCGGGTGTCCCTGTGCACTTGGTTCCCCTCTCATTTCAACCACACGCACCTTTGTCCCGTCTCGTCCTCCTGTCATGTCTTCATTCTTTTGTCTTTTGCGCGCGCACGTGCACATTGGCCCTCACCTTAGCTTTACGCCTCCCCTCGGGGAGGCGTGTGTGTGTGTGTAACCCTTGTAATCACAGGGATCCAGATGGATTGTTCTCTCATCGTTTTTCGGCATTTGTTTTCCAGCAGGGGGGCCATCCATGTGCTGTGAGCGACGGTCCAACGAAGCGGCCACAGTACATGCGGATATCTGGCCTGATCAGCCAGACGTACCTGCCATTTTCCGAGTCTTCTGAATGGCATGAGGCTAAGCCCAGAACCTCACAGGTAGCTACATTTGGCAGTCCAGAGCGCACGTCGTCATGTCGACTTGATCGTCGCCTTCGATCTTGAGACTTTGGCCCTATTTCCTCTTGAAGACCTCGAGGCTCCGTGGTTCTTACTCGTACTCTTAGGAAATGGAACCCTAGGCCGGCGTGTGGCACCGCTTTCAGTTCCGTATGCATATCCATAAGTGTGTGGAGAAAGGCACGGGCCCAAAAGCACTGGCCAGATAGCCGAAGCCGGCGCACCCTTGACCAAAAAGTTAACCTGAGACCTAAAAAGCTTCTAGCAAGGAACGAAAACCTGAAGAAAACAAGAGAATCTTAGAAGGAAAAGAGAGACCGTGCATGAATTACTCAGTGTGAGACTTACGAGTGAGTACTTAGCACTTGACTAAACGTTAACCTGGAACCTAAAAAACCGCTAGCAACGAAAGAGAACCTAGACAACGAAGAGGAACAGCAGAAGAGAAAGCAACCGCAAGATGAGTACTTAGCCGCGTGACATGTGAATACTTAGCCGCCTGGCATGAGTCCTATGAATACGTAGCAGTGTGGTATGTCATTCTCTGGAGGGTTTTCTCAGTAAGCTCTGCAGAATTGAATCGGCAATCTCGAGCAAGCAACTGAAAGGGCATGTGCAAGAAGCGACCCTTGGCGGGGATCGCGCAACAGACCTCTGTGGGACCCTGTTGTGAGACACACTTAGATCATTCCTCGCAAGAGCTCTATCAGTTGCGACATCCCCGTGCGTTAGTTGCTGAATAGCTCTTGACTTGCAGAAACGTAAAAGTGAAGGGTCAGCTTAAAAGAAGGTTTCAACATGGACCCATTAGCGCTTTACCAGCGGATTAAAAACGAGGGGCAGCCACCAGCTGCGTCTTATTATGCGCCCAAGTGCACCACGGCAGGTACGTTTCCACAGGAGACGTGCAGCGTCTTCGTTGGTCGCTGACTGCGTGAATCCCCAGCGACCTCCTGCAATTTGTACACTGTTCCTTTGGGACAGGAGTACACACGCACACACCCCAAACAACACATGTTTTGGACCCGGTGGCTTGTAAGGTGGGTTTTGCTTGTGAGACCTTCATACCTCAAGCGAAAAAAGGTGTTGATGTTTGTTCTCGGCTGCGTGCAAAAAACTATTCATCTCAAACTTTTCACTACCCCGTTTGTGTTAAAGCCAGAGAAAACTCCAAACGAAAAACGGTTGTTGCAGCATATATGGCGCCCTGTACAGAACTTGTGGCCTTCGTTTTCAACACGGTGTTTTCAAACAAACCTTTCTAGAGTCTGATGTTCGATGACGTTGGCATTGAGAGACGTCGATGAACAACATATCAGCAACGCAGTCGGCCTAGATGCGCCGCCACGGACCGCCACGCTGGTCATCGAAACCTCACTCTCCAAGGTCATCGAACCAAGCGTATGTGCACTCAGGTGTACAAACGTGCAAAAACAACGTATCCGATTGATGTAGCTATGATTCTCACACCTGCTTTGCACAATGGAAGGCCACGCACATACACATAATGACATCAGTCATTTGTTGTGTTTGTCTCCGGTGCTACAACCTAGATGTGACACATGTGGTCTTGACTCATGTTTTTGATGTAAGGAATCGGGTGTATCGGTCGATTGCTGGGTGCTTTGGCTCCATTGTGCTCACGAGCACCATGGTCATGCGTTTGGCTGTGGTGATTGCAGACACTGTGGTGCACTGCCCCAAGAAGTATGGCTTGGAACCCAAGGCGGGGCCACTGAACAATTGAGCGGGGTTGGGAGGGAGCGGTGGTGAGAAGGGGTTTCTGTATGCATTCAATGGCCTTTCAAGATGGTGATTCTTGCATCTCATCGATCTCCATAGGGCTGGATTTGATTGAGGAGACCTCCCAGCCAATAAATTTTGGTCTAGTTCACTTTGGGTGTCCCCATTCAATCTTTTTTTTAAATCGAATTCATTTGTTCTTGTTTGAGGCTGAACTACAAACCATGACATGAACCTGGAATGTGAACTTGGTACGTATTCCTTGCTAGCATGCCCGCTTCCAGTCTTGTTTCAAACAGTTTCAACAGGATTGTGCTTTGTTTGTGTGAGGTTTTACCATGTCGTCGCTTCTCCAGGCAGAAATGACCCCGGCGGCAGATCCCGAAGAACGGATCCATGTGTCGATTGGAGGACTGTTAAGTGTAATGCCAGCTTTGTGAGTGGAAACCATTTAGGATCTCCTCCCTCTCAAGTCCGGGCCACCCCAAAAGAGATCTCCTCCCGCCCGGGAAGAACCAAGGGCGAACACCGGTCCAACCGCGTCCGCCTTGTTGGCGATCGCTGCCCAGGTCTGCGCCCTGGACATCCTGGGCATCCTGGGCCTGCTGGGTGCCTCCGTGCGCTTCGGCGCGACCTCTGGCATCACCTGCCGCGCCATCGTGGGCGAGGCGTCGCAGACGGCCGCCTGCACCCAGGCGATCGCGGCGATGCCCACGGGGGTCTTCAGTGGTGCAGCGGCGGCCTGGAAGAGTGGAGTTCAGGGGGGGGGGCTTGGTGCCATGGACAGGGAGGCAGAGGTCGTTTTGAGGGGATGGTAGATCAAGGACAAGATCGAATTAGCATGAGGAACACCAGAAAGTGCAAGATCTTCCTTAGCCTCGGCGAGCCGTGGCCCGGAACTTGACAAACCTGTCGAACCATTTCCAGCAAATATTATACATCCATAGCCCGGTGGCGCGCTCCCCTGCCGGGGTCGGCGTATTATGTGCTCACAATAGCCTTGCATCTGCAAAAACATTTCACATTGCGTCAGATGCGCGTGAACAAGGCTGGTAACTACACTCTCTTGAAACTGCACCCGGCTCGACACCTTTCGGTCATTCCAAGGCCCCATCAATTCTTTTGTCGCCCAGGTGCTGGGGAATGTGAATGCGGCCTGTGGCAAGGCTCTGGAAAATTGGGATCCGGCGAATTGGCCCAAGAAAGAGTCGGTGGAAGATGAGGAGGAGGAGCAAGAAGGGGACTTCATCATCCCCGATGCCTAAGGATGCAATTAAAGATAGTGCAGAGGACGCGAGTGACGGGAAAATCGATGAGGACGGACGGCATTCGGGGGTCAAGAATCCATGAAAGACTGTGTTACAGTTTACGAAAGGTAGCCCTTTAGGGGATACCTTGAGTTTGTCTTGCGAAGCAAGTGTTGGGACGTCCGGGTCTAATAATTGATCACTCAATTCAACCCCCCCCCACCCCCCCCCACCCTGAAATGTAGAGGCCTACTTGTACAGGTTCCACTCCAGTGGCCTATCTAGTGTGTCCATGCTTGACTGCCATAAGGCTCAAGAGGATAAGACTCTGCGTAGAAAAAGACACTAGCGGTCTGCACCTCAACCGTGTACGCCCTAGTCACTCTTCCAGTGATAGCGGAGCAGTGATCCTGGAAGACCCAGGTGAGCTCCTTTCCTAGGCATAGACTTGCTTTTAGGCAAACGGCCATGGATTGGATTGACGACTGGGAAGAGCCTGATGCGGATGTGGCTTATGAGCCAGCAGCCTATGTGAATAGGCGTGTGAGAAGAGAACCAGCAGCTATAGCAATGACAACACAGGTCACTACAAAGGTGCCCCCATCTTATGATGGAAAGACTTCATGGTTTTCCTATGAGGATGCCATAGACGATTGGTGCGATATCACCGAGCTGGAGGATGAGAAGAGAGGACCAGCATTGAGGAACAGATTAGAAGGAGAAGCAGCTGTATACAAACGTGTTTTAGACAGAGATGCATTGAAGGCGAATGATCCACCAGGAGCTGGAGTAGATTATTTCAAACGAGTACTGCGACCATATTTTGTGAAAGGAGCAACCAATGTATTCCTGTATAGGTTTATGCAATTCGTGCGCTTCAATCGCGGATCAGCTGACATGATGAAATGGATGACAAGATTTCAGATTTTACTCCAAAGGCTTATGAGCAGTTGGATGGACATGTTGGAGCCAGTCACACAAACACATCCTCAGGTACAAGCTCAGATGCAAGCTGATGCAGTGATGAATGGAGTAGCTCCAACAGCGGAAAGAATTCAGGAAATCATGCAGAATATCAATGGCAATCTGAGAAATTTTCATCAGAACGATTTTCCTTTGGGAGAAAATCTTATTGCTTTACTCATGCTGTCACTTGCAGATTTGTCTCAGGACCAGAGGAACACTTTGACCTCTTTGATGACTCATCGTGGTAGGGTCCTGCAGCAATACACCGCAACAGAGTTGAGGACAGTTTTCATTGAGATGTTCTGCACGACAAAGACTTCAGTTGACAATCCTTTGATGCAGCCGACAGGTGCTGGAGGTAGAAGATCATTCCTCGTGTTTGAAGAAGGAGAACTCGACGGTACACATGGCTTTTGGGCCGAAGATGAAGAAGATGGAACAGAAGGATTTCTTGATGCCCTGGACGATGTCTTTTGGGTATATGATGAACAGAATTTCTCTTGGCTCCAGAGGAGATTCCAAGGAAGAAGAGCCAGAAAAGGCAAAGGAAAAGGAAGAAGAAAAGGAAAAGGCAAAGGAAGATCAGGCCGCAGATTTTTCAGACCTCGTGGAAAAGGAAAAGGAGGAAAGAGACGAGGTAAAGGCCATTTTGCTGATGAGCAATCGCCAACTTATCCAGATGAGTATTTTGAGGAGAATCCTTATGAGGATACTTGGGAGTCAAACCAAGTAGCATATGATGCCATTCTTGCCGAAGATATGAATGACTATCTTCAAGGAGAACATGAAGATGCCTATGACTTTTGGCAACAGCTTGAAGACGCATGGTTTCCCACAAAGGAAAAGGAAAAGGCTAGAGAAAAGGCAAGAAAGGAAAAGGAAAAGATAAAGGAGATGGCAAACAAGATGCAAACTATGCAAATCAACAACAGCCACGCTCTTTGCCTGCACCTTCAAGATCTTCACAAGCATCAGGAAGCCACCAAGGTTTCTTTGCTCATTGTGTGACAACAGAAGCTGAAGTCCATGACAGTGAGGTGAACTTGCTGTCAGGCATGATGACCTCATGTCAAGATGAAGCTGACTGTAATGTCAACAATGGTGAGACGATCTTCGATGGCATGAGTGCCCCTGTGAGGTACTCTTTGTCAAAGGAGATGCTCACAAGTGCTCCTGATGGCTTTGCGCTTATGAGCGCTGAGGAAGAAGTGAAAGAGACGCAGGCTATTTCATTTTTGACTGAGAATCGCTTCCCGCCAACTATTGCAATCCTGTACATTGGATGCACTAGAGCTATGGGATCAAGGCGTGCAGTCGATTATTTTTGTAACTATGTCGACAGTCACCCAAATTGTGGACTATGGTACTCTTTTGAGGCTACCAAGAGCAAGTTTTACTTTGCCAATTCTCAGAAGGCTTCTTGCTCTCAGAAACTGGTGATTTACATGTATGATCGCGCATGGGCGATCCACAATACAGAGTTCGACATAGTGGAAGAAGGAGAAGTCCCTTTGCTTATGAGCTTGCCACAGATGAGAAACTTAGGATTTGAACTAAGGCTGACACCTCAACATGCTTATCTGACATCGGTGCCTTTTGGTATCAAACATTTGGAGTTGAAGGTTGCAGCCAGTACTCATCTTGTTTTGGACTTCCAAGATATTGCATGGTATTTGTCTGACGTGCGTTTGCAGGCTCGGCGTGAGAAGAGTTTTTACTCTCACTTCATTCACTATGAATATGGCCATATTTCTGTTGATCACAATAGTGATGAAGATGAAGCTGAGCATGCATATCCTGTGGTTGACTACTGGGAAGTAGATGTTCATAAGAGAGAACTGATACGTCACCACAAGGATTACAGAAAGATTCTTTTCCCAGCAACTAAGTCCTGTCCTGTAGACACTGACTTGCTGGAAGACTTGCGACTGACAATCATCAAGAAGAAAGAAGGAGGAGAAGAAATCAAGAAGCTAGATGATTGGCGCAAGGCAAAATGGAAGGACCTACAAATTGGCTATGAATGGCGTGGTAGAACAATTTTTAAGTTTAGGCCAGATGCCAAAATTCCAGATCTTAAGATCAGGAAGGCTGGCATTGAGCACCGTGGCATTGGGGATCCCGATGCAGTGGTGCGCTCCTCCTCAGAGAAGGTTCCCATTGCAAAGGACAGGGAACCAGGCTCCCAAGGGTTATGATCCATTTTGGAAAGGACACAAGTTGAAACCATCTGAGCCTCCACATGATTTAAAGGGTGATGATCTTGAGGAGTATACTCCCTCAGAACCACCTGAGAGGCCAGAAGGTGAACTTGTAGAAATTCCTAAAGCATCAAAAGGACCATCAAGTGATAAACATGAACCACTTCAACCAGGTGATGGCGCTCTTGAGCCTAGGCGGATTTCAATCCCATTACCTGGTAGTGAAGTTGTTGCAATGACACCGGCATATAGGAAGATGTTGCAGAGACTGGAGGACAAGGTAGAGCTTTACAAGCTTCATGTGAAGCACTACCATATGAGTCCTACTCAGTTTCGTAGGCGTGTTTCTATGTTGAAGCTTCCTGACTCTGTTTTAAAGAAGTATGAATCAGTTGTCAGGAACTGCCGTGTTTGTAATACTTCAGTGGCACCTCCGCCACGAGCCAGAGTCTCCGGTATTAGAGCTTCATGTTTTGGTGATGTTGTTTTTGCTGATCATTGTGAGGTTGAACTTCACAAGAACAAGTATATCATTCTACTTGTTCTTGATGGTGCCACAAATCTTCTCTGGGCTACGGCGCAGAAAGACCTCATAGATCAAACCACCATCCAAGCATTGAGGCAATGGTCTGATGAGAACAACTGTGTTCCGAAGGCCATCGTAGGAGACGAAGCCTTTTTCACAGATGCTTTTGTTGAATACTACAGGTTCCATGGTATACAACAATGTCCTTGTGGACCAAGAACTCCTTGGCCGAACCGAGCAGAGACAGCTGTACGTTTGTTCAAACGTATGTGGCATGTTATGAAAGTAGATCTGGATGACCCACGTTTTCGTGGTGTTACGGTCAGAGAAGTGGTCAAGAAGGTAGTTTGGGCAAGAAATTGTCAGTTGACTATCAGTGGATATTCACCAATAGAGATAGCAACTGGAAGACGTCCACCAGATCTTTTTGACCTTGAGACCGCAAGCCCTGAGCAATTGTCAGCTAATGCAGCCGCGCAAGATCGTACAAATCTGGAACTACAACGTGTGGCTTTGAGAGCTCATCAAGAAGCACGACAAGCTCAGGACCTTCGAGCAGATCTTGCAAGAAGGACTATGCCAAGTGACGGTCCCTATTTCCAAGGAGAGAAGGTTTTTGTTTGGACTCAGGATTCATCAAAGTTCAAGGATAAAGGACGTTGGGTTCGTGCCACAGTACTTGGACAAGAAGGAGCTATGGTCCAAGCCAACACTGGTAAGGCAGTGGTACGTGTGAATCAGTCGAAGGTTGGACGCGATCACGATGAGTGGCATGATGTTTCCATACCGGCATTAGACGATGAAAATCCGGAGAACTTACGTGAAGATCACGAACTGTATGTTGATGCCGAATTTGGAGAACAGTCCTTTTTCTTTTGTAATGATGATCATCCTGATGTTGTTGAGTTACTTCATGGAAACAGTGGATTATCTTGGTTCCTTTCAAGGAATGGTGTTAAAGTTGCATCTCCGATGGATTTCAAGGCAGGATACAACTTTTCCACTCTGAAGGGTCAAGATGGTATTTGGCAGCAACTTGAGAGATTGCAGCCCCACTGTGTAGTGATCAACAACCCTTCTCCCAAACAAAACAGAGCTTCTATTTGGTTGCTATGTTGCAATGTGATTGAGTGGCAGTTGAGAAGGAAGAGACATGTGTTTGTGACTGTTCCCAAAGGAAACAAGTTTTGTTTGTTTTTGCAGAAGTTCATTTCTTCTTTGAAGCATCCGGTTTTTAACTTTGATGTGGCTATGAATTGTTTTTGCCATTGTCCTAAGGGAATTAGTTACGTGACAGTTTTCCATTCCTATGCATCCTGTCAAGG